TCTACTTTCCTCTCTCCTTTAACTTTAAATGATAGTCTTGGTTGTAGGTCCTTGTTTTTCATTATTTTGAATATTTTGTGTCAATATCTGTAGCCTGCAAAGTTTCTGTTGAAAAATCAGTCTTATGGAAGTTCCCTTGTAGGTAACTGTCTTTCTCTTGCTGCTTTTAGGATTCTGTCTGTCTTTAAATTTTGCCATTTTAAGTATGATGTGTCTTGGTTTGGGCTCTTTGGGTTCATCTTGTTTGAGATTTTCTGCACTTTTTTGACTTGTATGTTCATTTTCTGTGCCAGGTTAGGGAAGTTTTCAGTCATTCTTTCTTCAAATAGGTTTTTAATCTTTTGCTCTCTCTCTCTTCTCCTTCTGGTAGCCCATGATGTATTGTTATGGTAAGTGTGGTTTAAGAGTCCCTTAAAATATCCTCTTTTTAACCAATTCTTTTTTTTTTGCTTATTTAAATTGTATGTTTTCTGCTACTTATCTTCCAAATTACTGATTTAATCTTCTGCTTCATCTAATCTGCTGTTGATTCCTTGCAGTGTAGTCTTCATTTCAGCATTGTTTTTTTTGTGTGTGTGCTTTTTTTTATTTCTTACTGGTTTTTATGTTTTCTATATCCTTTTATATGCTTACTCTTTCTTTGTGTGACATTCTCACTATGTTCCTCTATTCTTCCCTTGAGTTCCTGAGCATCCTTGTAAACATTGTTTTAAACTCTGTACCTAGTAGATTGCTTGCCTCAGTTTAGTTTCATTCTTTTTCTAGGGTTTCTCCTAATTTTTTTGAGACATGTTTCATAGTCTCCTCTCTGTGTTTGCTTTTATTTGTCAGGTAGATCTTCTATGACTCCCAGTGTTAGCTGGGGGGCTTTATGTTGTAGGTGTCTTCTGGGACCAGTAGCACAGTCTTCCTGATCCCCTGAGCTGGGTGTTCCAGGAATGTACCTTGTATCAATTGTGTGTGCTGTTCTGTTGTAGTTGAACCTTGATTGCTGTTGACATGTAGTGAGTTGGATTAACCCTCAGGCTGACTGGTTGTAAGGATTGGCCTTGACCACAAAGTACAAGCTGCTGTGTTAGGGTCATTCCATGGAGCAGGATTTGCCACAGTGAGGCTCTGTTACCCACTGAGACCACCTATTTGGTTTGCCATTTATAGAGCTAATTGGGTGGTGCTCTGTTATGATCTGATGCCAGACACTAGGGTGTTGGTTCTGGGACTCCTTAGGAGAAACTAGTTCAGGCCAATGTCAGACTCTGCTTATGACTGACCTGGGGGGACCTGGAATAAACTACAAAGCTACCTTTGATTGTTAGATACCTGTACTATATTGGAGGTGTGTAGAAGAGGCCATGCTGCAAACCAAACTGATGCTGGCTGCCCCCAGTAAATTACCTGGGGCCACTCAGCAAAGTTTATCCCAAGAACATCTGCAGCCTCCCAGATGCCTGTAGTGCACAGCTGCTGAAAGAACCTCATGCAGTCAGTGAGATAGATGGGGTAAATGGTATTCACCAGGTTAATGCAGATTCATATTGGTGCCAGTGTAGAGTCTGGGGCCACTCACCAAGACAGGGCACTAGAGCCCAGCTGCCACCTGCTTTAGGCCTCACATTTGAGAATTTTTAAGAAATACTAAAGTACAAACCAGCTGCCTGCCACTGAAAGAGCGCCTGGCTGTGTAGGGAATTGGGTGGGGTCTGAGGAAATCATCAGAGTGGAGTAAGGGGTGTTCACCAGTTAATGCAGATTCAGATTTTGTGCCAGTATCAAGCTTGGGTCCACTCATCAAAAGGCACAGTGCACATGGAGGCTAGGGGCCTCCTTCCTGTGGCCTGCATACCTTTGAGGGTTTTTAAGAATGACTGGAGTATAGGCCCAGGCTGGCTGCCTGTGGCTGAAAGAGCTCCTGCTAATGCTCTGGCTGAGTCCAGCTGCCAGCTCCTGAAGTCACTGTGGCAGCGGGAGAGTTGTGTGGGACAGGGTCTCAGGGAATCACCATGGTGGGGTGAGTGGTGTTCACCAGGTTAATTTGGATTCAGATTTAGTGCCCACCTATGCCCACAGGCCCTGTGGGGGGAGGGCTCAACACAGGATAGATAGTGCTGGCCTGTTTGCCGTGTGTGTGTTGGTGGGGGGGGAGGGCGGGGGGGAGTGGGTTGGGCAATTGCGCTGTCTCTTCATCTCTCTCTCCAAAGCCACAAAATTCAGCCTCTACCCGTAAATCTCTTTTGCCCCTCCCACCACTCTCCCTTTGCTGGACCTCAGGGTGAGTGCCTATGAGTGAGAGAGTCTGTACATAACCCCTTTAAGAGGACAACTGTGTTTCCAGAAGCCTTCTGTCTCACCCACATAGATGAAATTACCCCTGATTTTCACAGCCGAATGTTATGAGGGCTCTTCCTCCTGGCACTCCTGGGCTCAGGAGTCCAATGTGGGGCTGAGACTCCTTACTCCTCAGAGGGAATCTCTGCAGCCAAAAATCCCTCTCGATTCTTAATTGCCACACATGGGTGTGGAACCAGCGTATTTTGTGTCTCAACCTCTCCTACTGGTCTCAATGTGACTTCTTCTTTATATCCTTAGTTATAGTACTTCTGTTCAGTTAGTCTGCAGGTGGTTCTCCAGGTTGATTGTTCTATAATTTAGTTGTAATTTTGATGTGGTTATGGGAGGAGGTAAGCACAGCACCTCCCTATGCCACCATCTGGACCTGAGGCCCCCAGGGTCTACTTATTATTCTCACTGAATTAATAGCATCCTTTCTGGCAATCCAGATGCTTATCTTTGCTAAGATCTCCTTGCTCTTGATTATGTGCCACTTTTAAGTATTTAAAACTGTTTTTTTTTCAGTTTGCTGGTTTTTTTTGTTTTGTTTTGTTTTGTTTTGTTGCATTCCTTACAGTTTTTACAAAGGAGGTGTTCTACATTGGCAGTGGCCCAGAATAGTACCAAGATTAAATTGAAAAAAAAAGCGCAGAAAGCAAATGATTTCCATGCCCTAATTTTAATACTTTAAAATAATTTATCTTCTGTGGTTCTCTAATTTTTCTGAAATATAAGTGCTAGTCCAAATAGGATGGATATTCAGGGAACGCTGGGATGGACCATATCCTCTTTCTGTATATCTCTAAATATCTCCAGTAGAACAAGGCACAAAGTAGATATTTAATAAAATATCTGTTAATCAATTTAAAGAAGAAAAAAGGCACTCCCTTTCACAAATCGTGTTTAAAGCTTTGACATTACTTTCCCTAATATTGGTTTCTCACATGGCTCAGGGCAACTTGCTCACTTTTGTGAGAGCTTGGAAATATCTGCAGCAAATCCTTTCAACAACTTCTACCTCACTACAGAGTTGACACTGGCAAAATGCCACTAGGTTCAGTCTTTTTAACCATCCACTCATTCTACCTCCTAAATCAGTGTGATTCCTTGGATCAGAATCCAAGCTAAAGACCTGCCTCAAAGCAGCAGACTCCCTTTTTCAGATGACCACATTTTCTCAGTAAATTGAATGAATGAGTCTGCAGTTCACTCAATGTGCCCATCCTTCTTTTTCTTGGCATCTTTGCCAGAGACCTGGCACATGGTCTTTTTTGGGCTGTGTTGATGGTGACTAGATAATTCAGAGGTCTGGGACTTGATTACAGATGTGAAAACATCTACACAATAAAAAATGAGAGATGATAGCTTGTTTTAAAATAAACACATAGAAAAGTAGCTATGAATTATTCACTAGTATGGTGATTCATAGCTTAAGATTTATAGTGCATATTTAATGTGCTCAGAAATGTAATTACATTTGGGTAGCTAAAAACACACATAATTTTGAAACTACAGAAGGTGATAGTGAAAAAGAATTCTTCAAACAACTGTGAGCACATGCTGAATTGATTAAGATCTGGGTATTAGCAATAGCCATTCTTTGAGCTAACTTGGAGAAAGACCTCTACAGAGATGAAAAAGTTGGTATAAGATTACTCATTGATGCCTAAATGTAAGGCAGTGGACATTTTAATGTACAAAAAATCATTAAGTGGTATAATAAGCAACTATCATATCAAATTTTCAAACACTGATTTCATGTATTACCAGAGGCCCAGTGCACGAAATTCGTGCACAGGGGGGTCCCTCAGCCCGGCCTGCACCCTCTGCGTCCGACTGCCGGTTTAGGTCCCATCTAGGAGATTCTTCCTTTTAACAGCAGCATAGTATTCCATTGTGTAGATGTACCACCGTTTTTTAATCCACTTATCTGTTGATGGGCACTTAGGCTGTTTCCAAATCTTAGCTATGGTAAATTGTGCTGCTATGAACATAGGGGTGCATATATCATTTCTGATTGGTGTTTCTAGTTTTTTGGGATATATTCCTAGAAGTGGGATTACTGGGTCAAATGGGAGTTCCATTTTTAGTTTTTTGAGCAAACTCCATACTGTTTTCCACAGTGGCTGCACCAGTCTGCATTCCCACCAGCAGTGCAAGAGGGTTCTTTTTTCTCTGCATCCTCGCCAGCACTTGTTGTTTGTTGACAGGTGTGAGATGGTACCTCATTGTTGTTTTGATTTGCATCTCTTGAATGATTAGTGACTTTGAGCATGTTTTCATATGTCCTTGGAGCTGGAGAGCATTATGCTAAGCAAAATAAGTCAGTCAGAGAAAGATAACTATCACATGATCTGACTCATTTGTGGATTATAATGAACAACATAAACTGATGAACAAAAACAGATCCAGAGACTGAGAAGCATTGATCAGATGCTCAAACCTCAGAGGGAAGATAGGGGAGGGTGGGAGGAAGGGGGAGAGATCAACCAGAGGACTTGTATGCATGCATATAAGCATAACCAATGGACACAGACACCAGGGGGTGAGGGCATGAGCGGTGGAAGGGGGAGCAAGGGGAGGGTAAGTACACATATGTAATACCTTAATCAATAAAAAACAAAACAAATCAAAACTGGGAAAGTTAAAGGGACTTTGGAAATTGTAATTACCTTCCACTTCACAGCCCAGTAGCTCCATTCTTAGCCCTAGTCCACCATGAGTGGCTCTCTCAGGGTAGATCCTGATGAATCGTGTGGAAAGAGGTTGAAAAGTTCGTAGCTCAGGCGTATCATAATTGCTGTTGCCTTCAAATGACTGTGAAGTATGAAAATACCAGTTATTAATAAAACCACCTATTCAGCAGAAGAGTCTCTCCTTCGGTCTCTTAATAGAGCAGAGAAATAGGGATCATTCTACCACTTTGTAAATGCCTGACATTCATTTCATAAATGAGAAAAGAAAAAACAATTCGACTTCTTTAAGAAGTGATAGATATCATTTCTCAGAAACTAGAGTATGCCCTGAGGCTATACCAGAAGCAGTCATGAGACATGGTTTTAAATGATATGTTGACGTGCCTCAGAGAAGCGACACTTTAACCACTTCCTTGAGGTTGGAGAACTATGATTCAGGAAGAGAACTTGCCACTTTTCAGAGCTTATAATAGACACCACATTTTCAATAACTACTCCTGTTACATTCTCTTCAATCAGTGGGTCCTCTAGAAGAGGGATGAATTAAATTGCTGAAGAAGGAAATAGTAAATTTAATGCAGTGCAAATGCTGTTTACTCAAGAACTTGTGTTATTCCAATGTCTTAAAATTCTATTTACATAAGGTGTTCCAGCACTTGGGAGTATCTGTAGATAAAAGACCTCCTTTCCTCAGAAAGAGAACAAGAGCCCTCTCTGTTAAGTGATGTTCTGATGAATGGGTTGAATTGCACTGCTTTGTCAAGCACATTTCTAACTTGAAGTCAGTGACATATTTTCAGGAGCTAGGCTATTCATTGCCAGTGCTGCTGCTAAATTATTTCATTTTCCTTTTTCACATTGACAGGAAGGTCAAAATCCTTGAGTGTATTTTGCAAATGGAGCAATGACTAGGCTTCTTTTCTTTTTTTAGAAATGGATAAGCCTCACTATATATCCTCTTCTCCCTACACCATTTTTAATCCAGTCCAGAATGGGAGAAGCGGGGAGAGGCAAGTTTAGAAAAATCAAATTGCTTTATCATTAGGAGTGGCCTTTTATATGTCAAATAACCTAAGATGTTTACTGGTGAAAGGTATTGTTTAAAGTGCTCAAAATATATTAATTCATTTAATCCTCTAGACAACTCCACAAGGTAGGTTCTATTATTACCCCTGTTTTACAGGTGAACCACAGAGAGGTCAAGCAACTTTCTCATGGCCATATGGTAAGTGATAGAGCTAAGATTCAAACATGGACAGTCTGAACTGGTGCCCTTCACTCTTACACTGCCGTGATGCCTCAGCCCTTAGAAATAATCGAGTCAAATGTCATCATTTCAATAAATGAAAACATTGAGGATCAGGGAATTGAGTTCTTTGCCCAAGTCCACACATTTAGTTTCATTGTTTTCTTTAAATTATCTCATTCTAGGCTACTAAACTTGGTAGATCAGACCTAGTGGATGGCCAGCCCCAGGCCTGTCAGCAGGAGTGGGAACCATACCTAACAGTTGTCATAAAGCAGCCAAAGAAGCTATCTTTCAGTGGTGGAAACATCATGGCAAAACAGGAGACACATATAAGAGGAGATAGACAGATTGAGTAGGTTGTGACATAACCAGGGCTTTTCTGAGTTCTAGAATTAATTGATCCTTTCTGACTCAGAAAAGCCTCCAGGAATTTCAAAGTACATGACTAACATAGACCCACTTCTCTCAATTAAGGTTTCCTTCTATTATTTTCAAGAGTAAATTCCCCATTGGCTGGGGTTCTACATTCTTGATAGAATTACAGTTGTTGCCAGTAATTGAGAATCTGACATATATTATTGTTAGGCTCTATTAAGTGTCATCAATTAAGAGTAATCTATAATAATAAAGCATAATATACTAATTAGACCAGATGTCCTTCCGTCCTTCTGGACATAGCCGGGGCTGCAAGGGAAGCCCGGGTCCTGGGTGTCTGCCAGGGTGCCTGCCAGCAGCTGGAGGGAAGGAAACCTGGGTCCCAGGTGCCAGAGGGAAGCTGTTGCCGGCAGCTGGCAGAAGGAAGGCCTACTCTTGCATGAATTTTGTCTATCGGGCCTCTAATATACTAATAACATAGCTTCAACAATCATAGGAGAAAAGCACTCTTTTAACTTGTGGTTTCTAAAATATTTTCAGAGTTTTTATCATATGTGTGTAGATATTTTCTTTCTTGTGTCCCAGACTCTTCTCCTAATTTTAACTTGAGCAAAGAATTGGCACAATCTAAATACATTATAAAAGCTGTCAGTGATGAACTGGGAAGAATATTAGCAATGAAGAGCCATATACAACAGTGCTAATTGTTTTTAAAAATATGTTTTATTGATTTTAGAGAGATAGAAAGGGAAAGAGAGATAGACACATCAACTACCTTCTGCATGGCTCCCACTGGGGATTGAGCCTGCAACCTGGGCATGTGCCCTGACTAGAAATGGAACCAGTGACCTCTTGGTGCATGGGTCGACGCTCAACCACTGAGCACACTGGCTGGGAAGAACTGGGTTAATTTTACTAGCATGAGATCATTTATAAAAAATCTGTGTCCTTTTACTAATCATGTTTTAGAAAAGGGCTTTGTGTATTTAAATATTCTATGTGCTCCTGAAAAGTCTAGTTAATACAAAGACTGATATATCTTGTCCATCATTTGAGTAGGAAGCAAGGAGAGGGCATAGAAGATTTTAAATCCATTAAAGTGCTATTTCATTTCACAAAATAGTACTCATTTTACTGTTACATATAAGAGACATGGCATCCTAGGGAGGTAACCTTCATTTATAAGTTTAAATATAGTATGTTTTAAATATCTTTATACAATTTATAAATATGTACTGCTTCTAAGTTGAAGGTTTTACCAGTATCTTTTCTCATATAAATATTTTATTTCTGGGAAAGGGCATTTAGGGGTAACTTATTAAGCTCTATCTAAACAACTTAGAAGCTTTCATGGTTTTAAATACCATAGAATGATGGTAAAAAAATAATAATATTTTAGGAATAAAATTAAACACATTCAACCAATCTTGAATGGACTTTTTTTATTAAAATTGAAAACTGTGTGTTGCCTTCTTGTGGAATTCTATATGCAATGTAGTACAAGAGAGTGATAGCTTTAGACTTGATAGCAGACATGTGCATTGGACAACACAGGGAAGCATATGGTGCATCCTTTCAGAGGTTAAAGTACTTTGTTATCTTTCTGTCTGAGAACCCTAGTATTGAAAAACATGTCACTACAGCACACACTGCCATATGACAGCAGCTCCAGGAAGTTGTTGATTTCCAGCACACTTTCTGATAAAGTCACAAGGCTCATGACTCCTTCAGAGATTGACTCTTAGGGAGAATTGCAGTTTTCTGTTTATTTTACTTTTTCTCTCACCAAAACAAGAGGGGCAGACATAAAATGGAAAATGAAATGGACACAAGAAAGAAAATATCTACACACAGATGACAATAACTCTGACAATGTTTTAGAAATCACAAGTTAATGAGAGGTGAGATGGAAGTGAAATTCTTTCACCTCTGACAGCATCATCCCTGTCAGTGGCTGACCTGCAGCCAGTGGGGGAAAGGGAAGTCTCTGCAGAGCTCCATGTCTGACAGAGTGGAGCTGACTGCACTGCCCAACTTTTGATTTCCTGCCTGCAATACCTTTGCTTGAGTCATATATTAAGCCACATTCCCACACTTGCCTAGAATGGGACCAAAGACAATATTCCATCCAATTAGCTAGAATCTTCTTTTCACAAAAGGGGTAGGTCCTGGGCAAAGTGGAGTTGGGAAGGATATAACCAAAAAGCCAATTGTTTGGGGTGTGAGAAGTTTCATTAGTTGAATACAAATCCTTCACCGCATACAGCATTGAATGTCTATGGTTTGTTACTTATTTTAGTCTCAAACCAGCTTCTGGGTCACCCAACATACTCCTTTCCTAGTTGGCATTGTGTACTCAGGAAATTCAAATAAATTTAATAATCACTCTAAGTAAAACCTAATCACTAAAGAACATCTGTTTGGTTAAAAAATATCATACCACATGTTCTATTGAACATTGGAATGTTCAATTCTATTGAGACTAGAGGCCCTCTGCATGAAATCTGTGCACAGTGAGGGTCCCCTCAGCCCAGCCTGCACCCTCTCCAATCCGGGACTTCTTGGGGGATGTCCGACTGCTGGTTTAGGCCCATTCATAATTAGGCCTAAACCGGCAGTCGGACATCCCTCTCACAATCCGGGACCACTGGCTCCTAACTGCTCACCTGCCTGACTGCCTGATGGCCCCTAACTGCCCCCCCTGCCAGCCTGATAACCCCTAACTGCCTCTGCCTGCCTGCCTGATTGCACCTAACTACCCTCCCTGCCAGCCTGGTCACCCCTTACTGCACCCCTGCCAGCCTGGTTGCCCCTTACTGCTCCCCTGCTGGCCTGGTTGCCCCCAACTGCCCCCCCTCTGTTGGCCTGGTCACCCCTCACTGTCCCCCTGCAGCCTGGTCGCCTCCAACTGCTCCCCCTACTGGCCTGGTCA